GATTTCAATTTCAGTATTGCAAATGCCAATTTTGGCACAATCAGTTGGCAATTGGCAAGAAGAGTCCTAGGCTCCTGTCTCCGATGAACTCCAAGTGCTCCTAAGTAGTATCATTTCGGATTTTGGAATAGGATTTGGTGTCATAAACTCCAAGTGGGTGAGTATTGATTTCGTTGTGTTCATTTTCTATCTGTATCTGTATTTTGATCCTAAATTAACCTTTAAAACTAGTATTATGATTTACCTGCAACCATAATAATATAACTTGCTTTGTAGTTTCTTTTATCTTATAATATATCTATGCACCTGCAACCACAGGTGCATAGATCTTTCAAATTTAATCATTTCACTGTCTGATTTTGCTTATCATTGATTCAATTTGTTATTATCATTGATTTTTGGTTATTTACCACATTCTATTGTGCACTAGATGGTGGAGGTGTGCAAAATGATTTATGTGTTTTAATGAGAAATCCAAACTCCAAAGTAGGCTATTTGCTTCCAGATTTCCACCTTCCTTTGCTAGGATGCAATTAGAAACAGCTTTGTAAATAACCTCCCTTATGAATATACAAGAGACTTCAGAGACAAAGAGTAATAATATCATATTTTTGTTTAGATTTTTGAGAATTTGGTACTTGGCTCTACCTCTATCTTAGAGTAGGAAAACACTTTCTAGCGGTTTTACATTGGAGCTGCTCACCTTCTTCCCCAATTTCTGCAGTTATGATGATGGAACTCCAGTAAACATTGCAGCTGTTCAACCAAAAGCTATAGGAATCTCAGGACCCTCCAAGAATAATTATGCTCAAAGCAATGTGGTTTCACTATTCAACAAAATGAAGTCGGCTCAATCAAGCTCAAAGCCATCATCCATTAAAGGATGGCAGGTAACCATGGAGGATGCTGTGAGTAACGAATTAAATCTTTTGTGTCCTCAAACAGCTTAAGCATCTGGATGTAGCCTAAGTGAGATAATGTAAACATTAGATGGCTTAAGTGTTCAGTCTCTAATGTTTCACTGAATTATTACAAGCAGGGCAAATTCTGATTGGAAGTGATAATACATAGGAACCAAGAGGAAGGACTGGGAAGTTTCAATTGATTTGGTTTCCGGGTGAAGCATAGATTTGATTTTGTTACCCTTTGCAAATATTTGTGTATTGTTGTGAATTTTCTTAGAACCCCAACTGATGTTGTTTTGTTGCTTGTCATTTGAAATTCAGGGTTTCAAAATGAGGTTACCTTCAAAGCATTTAAAATGAGCAAGATGTAATGATGCTGGTAGTGATTCTAAAAATGAACAACTGATGGTGGTTTGTAAACTTTTCAATGATTTTTGTTTTGATTTTATCAGCATCATTTTCCTAGTTGTTTCATTTGATTGGGGATTTATGATGTAGGTGT